CCCCTCTCCCCACCCCCCACCCCAGCATGGGGACTAGAGGCCTGCACACTGTGGTCCTTGCACTGCCCCCGTCATGGTCTTCCTGGACACAGGATGGATGGGAGAGGAGTGTGCGCAGGAGTGGTCATAGGCAGGGTTCTGTGAAAGGCAGGGCTGGTGTCACTCCTAGCAACTGGGGTGATGCGACTGTCCCAAGGGGCCCCACATCATTTGCCCCCATGTCAGCTATTTGCTGGGAGACCAGTCTCAGAGCACAGGGTAGGACAGATGCTACTTGGAAGTTCTTTACCATGTTTCTCTCACCCAGAGAGGAACTATGGTCAGAAGCTCCTGGATCAGGAGCTTTTCCTGTCCCACCAGGGGTGAGGGAGGTGGTGAATGCAGACGAGAGGGCAGAGAGAGGCAACATCATTCTAGTCCTGCTCCTTCCTGGGAAGGGATGGAAGTTCCATTTCTCCTCCCCATCATGAAAACCTGAGCACAGAACAGCAGAGTCCACCATCAGGACCCTGTAGGACCACTGGCTCGTTCACCAGCTGACTGTCATGCGCTTGCTTTCCTCTTTGGGGGATTAGGCTGGGCACTCCTTTAACCACAAGCAACTGTCAGGAGAGCAGGACCTCCATTCCTCTGAGCTGGTATGTAGGAAGAGTCAGCAAATTGGTACAAGAGGCTGTTGTCATTTTCTTTCCAATTGTCTGGGAGTCCAGCTGGATCCCAAGGTGAGCCCAGTAGGGCAGAATGGGATAGATTGATTGACTCTTGCTTAAGGCTCCAGCCTTCTGATTGCTGAACTCATTGGAAACTGTTACAAAAATGCTGTTCCATCAAGAGATTTGCATTTTTACTTCCACAAGTCTTTGAGCAACATTAGTAATCTATGGTTGGAACATTTGCCACTTGTTCCTTAGTCTTGCAAATTTTTTTCTCAAAGCATTCCATCCTCTTCAAGCCTGTCTACCCTACTGGGGCCTCTTCCACTCTGCACTTGAAGGTTGACCAAGGTGAATTTATATTAGCTGCTCACAGCTGTGCTGAGGAGGGCAGCGTGTTTGTGGAGTCAGGAGACCTGCTGATTGTCCACTGCACAGCCCTTGCTGTTGGCCTGGCTGCATCTCACAGCTTTGTTTCCTTATAGTCTGTGGACTCAGACCCCTGGCTTGACAATGTATCAAATTCACTTTGAGATAGCATAGGATTAGCAGCTGCAACAAGATACTTATGGGAGAACCTTGGGAAAATTCCCGAAGCTCTGGCAGGGTCCGTGTAAAAATTTTTCTTTCTTGTAGGAACAAGTAAGATTAGGACTGGTGCTGCTAATCATCAGATGCCAAAGTTGCTGCACGGTCCTGTGAAAATATCTGCACTGCCAGGGAATGAGGAGCATCCAGTGATTCCCTGCATAGGGTTAGTTTAGAATCCCAGTTTGTTAGCTGTTTCAACACATGTGTCCATAAATAGATTAGGGAGAGCTTGTTGCTTTCTATCCTAAATAAGGGAAAGGGAACTGTAATTGGATTAAATCAAGGACCCACAATTTCTGACCCTGAAAGGTGCATAATAAATGACCCGAAGGCACCTGTTGGTTAGAATGGCAGCAGCTCATTCAAGCTGTAGAGATTTAGACGCAAGAACAGGGAACACTTTCTTGTTGGCCACTTGGACAATTGAAGAGTCACCCCCTGAGGCAAAGGACTGACAACAAAGGACCATTCTGAGGTTGGGGGGAGGGGTGAAGGTTAGAGCAGTGAATAAAACAGGTGAAAGTTCCTGTACTTAGACAGCTAGTGTCCTTGTGGATATGGGCTCACTAGGTCTCAGGCACTGTTCTCAGCACTTCACACACATGAACCCCTTTATCCCCTGCATCTACTCTGACATGGGCATTTCTCATCATCCCCATTTTACAAATGGGTAAAATAAGGCACAGAAAAATTAAGTGACTTATCCAAGGACATACAACTAGCAAGTGGCAACTGAGTCTTTCAACCCTGTGAGCATGTGTGTGCCAAATTTTAAAAGGCATACGTTTCATCCAGGGGATCTGGGCTTAAAAACAGATTCTGATTCAGTAGATCCGGCATGGGGCCTGGCATTCTGCATTTCTGAGGAGCTCCCGGGTGACACTGACATTGCTGGCCCGTGGACCACATGTGTGATGGTAAGGGTCCAGGCCATGATGGGCATCCTTGGTCTCCTGGAAACCAAGCTCCTTGGAGATATATGTGTATTGTTCATCTCCATATTGTCTTCATCAGGACCTTCTTATCCTTATCTAGGCTTGATTAGCTGAAGCCATGGAAACCCAGCCAAGCTTTTTCAGGAGAGAAGCAGGCACAGTCTAAGGATGCAGAGCTCATGGAATGCAAGGAGAGTAAACACCATACGCCAGGCCTTGTGGGGCCTAGAGTGCCATTGAACCTTTGGTCTCTCATCTTTCCTCTGCTGTGCGGGTTCTAGTCTCTGCTCCATTCTGCTCACCTGTTTTCCAACATAACTACCCACAAAATCTACTGGCTCTTTCAATCTCAGGGCTCACAATAACCACATGCACTCTGTTTCTTATTTTAAGTGCTTGAAGGGGGAATCTGGCAGTCAGTAGATTACAGGGACTATGGGTATTGAGCAGGTCAGGGAGGTTGGGCATGATGGACAAATTGTCTGATATATCTTAGATCACATGCGAGGTCAGATATTCACTGAGAGCTCCTTCCTGGAGATCTAGGTTGCTTTCTTTGGGAGGAAGTCAGAAAGAAATAGATAATTCATATATTTTACCAAGCACCTATCAGCTACCAGGCAATGTGCCCAGTGATAAGGATACAGAGGTAGAAGATATAGCCACCACTTTTTAAATAATTTAAGTTCTGATGGCAAAGGAGTTCTATGATCAAGGCAAACTCTCAGCAAAGCAAAGCCCTCCTTCTGAGAAAAATTAGGGAAGCTGAAAATAAAATCTATCAGCACTTCTGCTTTCTGATTCACATATCTGCATTTCATAAATATATTTGTATTATATAATTACATAGTTATATATGTGCATATATATCCAGCTATCTTAATTGTTCTCTGAAGGACTAGATAGGTAATTAGATCACAGAGAAAAACAGCAAAGTGAGCCCAGTTGCTGGAGATGTTTAACTCTGAGAAACTCACTCTTACTTAAGCAGTGCTAGTTGAAAGAAGCTATGGAGAAACTGACAACCAGGATGTTTAGGAGGTGAGTGAGTTTTTGGCAATTCTTAACTCTAAGAAACTCACTCATACTTAAGCAGCGCTAGTTGACAGAAGCTATGCAGAAAGTGACAACCAGAATGTTTAGGAGGTGAGCTAGTTTTTGGCAATTCTAACAGTGAGATCAAAATTGGGAGGTTGTGGTAAATACCCCAGGATTTTTACTGGGGAACCCTGAAGGACCGAATGAACCCTGAGTAAGGGCAAACTAGAAATAGACCAGACTCTATAAAAACTGAAAGCCTCTCAACAGTTCAAACCCTGATTAGATTAAAGTGACCATTCCCCCTACTCTAACTTCCTATCAGGGAACCAAAATTTTATCTAGAGCCTCCATGATTTTCTATATACAATGTCTGGCATTCAGTTAGAAAAAAGTTATTAGGCATTCCAACAGACAAGACCCAAAGCAAAAACAGATAATAGAAAGGACTCTATGGGAAGTGCAAATATGAAAGTTTATCAGGCATAAACATTAAAATAATATGATTGATATGGTTACAGAATTAGATGAAAAGCTAGAGAAATTCATTAGAGAACTGAGATATCTACAAAAGAATTAAACAAATAATATAGAACTGAATAAAAATAATAAATGCAAATAAGAACTTAATAGAAGGGTTGTACAGAAGGTTAAACACAGATGAAGAGAAAATTCTTGATTTGGAAGTTATATCAATAGCAAATGTCCAGTGCAAGGCCCAGAGAGATAAAAGGAAGGAAAATTCAGAGTTGAAATCATGACAATAATAATACAAAAGTTTGTGGGAGAGGCAGTAAATTGAATTTAAGTTCTAGGCCATCTTTGCCATATTTCTTGCCTCTTGTATTGATTCTATCTCCATTCAATTCTGGTCCTAGATTCTCTGTCTAGAGCTCTTCATTGTGGTAACCCCTGAGCACATGCAGCTGTGTAAATTAATTAAACTTAAATAAAAGTAAAAATTCAGTTATATGTGGTAAGACTGGCTACGTTTCAAGTATTCAGTAGCCACATGTGTCCAGTGGCTGCTGTATTGGACAGTGCACATATAGAATGTTTCAATAACTTCACAAGGTTCTATTGAACAATAATCTTATTCCCTGATATTTTACATCATAGGTAAAGATCATTCTAGATCTTTACCTATGATGATGTTACCCCTGTGCATGGAACCTTTCCATGGCTCCAGACTCCTTTAATGCGATGTTCAAAGTTTCACACAGTGTAACTCAATTCTGTTTCCCTGCCTGTTGAAAGCAGGCAACGTGAATTCAGTGATCTACCATTACCTGAAAGAAGACAAAATGTTCTCACAATCAGATGCCTGTGGCTCTGTGGGACTGTCTTGCATGGAGAATGGTGCTCAGAGCACTAACTTTGAGTCATCCGATGACTTCAGGCTTCTCTATCCAGGAATACTGGGACAAGTACGCTACATTTTAGAAAGACTCCCACTAAAATGGTAAAATAAATCATGTATTAATTCTTGGGTTTCCCATTGGGAACTTCTTATTCTTCAAGTCTATGGGGCAAGTGGGGCTTTTACTGAACTGCATCCTGAGCTTGCCATTTACTGGCTTTTAAACATGGACAACTTACTTCACCTCTCCTGTGCCCCGGGTTTCCCAGCTGTTAGATAAAGTCCTTGCACCCATCCCTAACATGTGAGTTTTGACAACTAAATGTGGTTTTGCAAATGTAGAAATGGCTTTATAAATGTAAGTGCCATGTGTACATGTGGCATTATTTTTTCATACTGTGCTGTTTCTTTTTTGTCTTTCAGTCATTTCCCTCAAAGCTTCTGAAGAGTCATCCTTTGAGAAAACGAAAGAGACTTGGGCATTTTTTGAAGGTAAAGCTTGTGTATTTCTTTATGATAAGATGCAGCCTCACTTTTAGACAATAGGAAGGAAATAGAATATCAAGAAAGGATCCTAACTTCTTAGTTTTTAAGTTGTTTTCTTGGTCTAAACTTACTCAAAGTAAGATGGAAATCCCTGACAGTATCAGCCCACAGTTTTGAAAGAGTGGAAGTTGAAGCACCAGTCCACATAATTTTTGTTTGTTTTGTTTCGTTTTGCTCCAAAATTCCTACTCCCAGGTGGTATTAGGGAGGAATCCTCAAATGATATAAAAATGATAAGTACCTCTACTGTGACTGCATTTTATTTCAGGTTGCTTAAGGAATTTGGGGTTCTAGAGACAGTTTGCAATCCTTAACCAAGTAATTTTCAACCCATGCTAGAATCGCTCATGGAATGTTAAGAACACGAATGCCTGGACCACATCTCTAGAGATTCTGATTTACTTTGAAGTTGTTAAAAGCACCAGAAGATTGCAGCATGCAGCCAGGCTGAGAACCATGGCCTTGGAACAGTAGTTCCCAAAGTGTGATTGCAGACCAGCAGCATATGCATCACCTGGGAGCTTGTTCCAAATGCACATGGCTGTGCCCTGCCCCAACTTACAGAATCAGAAGCTCTAGGGATGGTGCCTAAGAAATCCGGGGTTTAACAAGACATCCAGGCAATTCTGATGCACATTCAGGTTTGGGCCTTAGGGCAGGGGTTGTCAACAGTGGGTGACTTTTGCTACTCCAGGGGACAGTTGCCAATGTCTGACTGTATCTTTGGTTGCCACAGCTGTTGGCGGTGCTCCTGGCATCAGTGATAGGGGCCAAGGATGAAGCCAATCCTACAATGCACAAGATAGTCTCCATGACAAAGAATTTTGCCTCCAAATATCCAGAGTGCTGAGGCTGGAAAACCCTGTCTTGGAGTAAGGAAAGTTCAGAGAAATTATTGTCATAAAGTGGGTGAGGATTATGATCATAAGAAATGGAAGAATACACTTTGTGAGTTCTCCAGCAGAGCCTTGGATCAGTGAAAGGCTGATTAATGTTCAAAGGTGGTCAGGAACTTTGTAAAGATTATGTCTGGTGACGGCACAGCATTTATTGATGAGGAATGATCTAGCCAAAAGGCTCTAAGGAGATGCACATGTCTCGGGGCCTCACCGTCACCTTTTGTTAACCCACTGTATGGTCTGACAGAAGGAGGGCCAGCCTTAGGGGAAAGGTACTTGCTTTCAAGCCCACCCCTTCCAATACCAAGTTATAAAGCAGTAGACTGAAACACATTCTGTCTTAGGAAAATGTAACTTTTATTGTGAACATCGTTTGCAAACCATAAGGTGTCACCCACATAGGCCTCTAGGATTAGTTGTTTAGTTTTGTAGTCATAAATATTTTGTTTATGAGATTGCACTCATGAGAATCCAACAATGATTCTTTGTATTTCCTGATGTTTCTCTGCATTTTTGTAGTTGCCTTTTTCTTTATTTGATGACTGTCTCCTAGTAAAATAATCCCCATTTCCCCCACTCAGCCTCTCATTAAGAGAATGCCTACTCATTGACAAAAAGATGAAAATGACTTTACTTCTCATAGAGTGAAGCAGTAGTAAGGGCAAGATTTACCTTTCTCATTACTATTTAGTAAAATTGAGGCAACCCCATTGATGTTTTGCCCCATGTCTCTGGATCTGCTCTGTGACCAGGCACTGTGATGGGTTGGGGTATGGAGAGGGCCTGGCTGTGGCAAGTGTAGATCACTAGGGATGTGACAGCTGGACCCTATATATCATCAGATGCATCAGAATCTCCCAGGGGGACTTCGGGCTCCAGTCTCTGAGGTTCTGGTTGTAACATTAGGAAGGGATCAGAGAACTTTCAGGGCCACAGGTGATTCCTATGCAAGTGGTCTGAGGACCATACTTTGAAAATACTGTGGTGCAAAAACAAGACCATATATTTGGAAAGATTGTGGCATTTAGACCCAACATACCCCACAGCATAATCAGCATTTCTAAAATCCTTTGTGCAATTAACAATATCTCATAATTCATGTGCAGCTATATAATATCAGGGTTACTCCCGACCTAACTCTCTACATGAAATCTGTAGCCCAGTATGTGCTCTCTTCTCAACAGAATCAGGCCTCACCAAAAGCAGAACTGGCATTCTCACTATGTGTAGCGCCTGCCTCAGAGCAGCTGTTTACAGAGCAATCTTTTCCTATGATTTCGGCAGCAGCAGCATCTCCATGCTTTGCTTTTTTAAACCCAGCTGTAGCTTTGGCAAGGTTAGAGGCACAGTTGAAACTCCCTGGCGCATGATCCCAGGCCTTTTGCCCTTTTGTTCCTGGACGGGAGAGCTACAGTAGGGGTTGTGGATGGATTTCCATCCTCCTGGGGCTTAGTTCGTCCTGGCTGTGAGCCCACTGCACAAAAGAGGCATTGATTGTCAGGCCTCTTTGTGAGATTCTGGAGTGAGTTAAAATCCTTTGGGGCTATCACTCAGGTGTTTCACCTTGAGCAAGATGGTATTACAGGCTGGATTAAAAAATAGAAGTACAGAGCCTTCTGTCTCAAACTGTCATCTCCTGACTTTCCCATTTGCCCTGAAAATGTACAAGACTGAAACTGACTTTCTTGATTCAGAAGGCAGGGGGAGAATGGGGTTCCTGGACTCTGCTGAGGGGCACTGGGGTCACTCTTTTTCAAAGGAGCACTGAATACCCCTGCCGGGATCAGGGTTGCTGGGCAACAGGTGCCATCTGCCTGACCCTGGCTTGGTGGGACTGTTTGGGAGGGCGGGAGCTGGCACACTGACATTGTGCACCCCAGTCTTGGCCTCTCTCTGCATGGGCAGCTGCTCCAGCCTGCCAGCCCTGCCATCTGCTTCAGGGAGGCCTGGGCATTTTCTGAATAGCAGCTTGCAGTTGAGTCTAAAAATGGCAGTGATGCCTTTGGAAGTTCAATGGCAAAAGACAAAACTGTAAATGATTTCAGAGAAAGGGAATATAGCATGATTTTTAGAATTATTGTGGGCGTGCAGGTATATGTGGTATTTTTTTTCTTTTTCTTTTCCTTTTTTTTTGAGACGGAGTTTTGCTGTTGCTGCCCAGGCTGGAGTGCAATGGCACGATTTCGGCTCACTGCAACCTCCACCTCCTGGGTTCAAGCAGTTCTTCTGCCTCAGCCTCCCGAGTAGCTGGGATTACAGGCATGTGCCTGGCTAATTTTTGTGTTTTTAGTACAAAAATTTGTACTAATTTGTTTCACCATGTTGACCAGGCTGGTCTCGAACTCCCGACCCAGGTGATCTGCCTGCCTTGGCCTCCCAAAGTGCTGGGATTACAGTCATGAGCCACCATGCCCGACCATATGTGGTATTTTTAAAGTGAACTCCAGATTTGATTAATTGCAGATATTTTGTTAAACTCAAGCCTTTGTTGAAAGGTCTGGCTTCAACCTTTCAACGAGCATTATTTGGCCTAGTCTGAGTTTTAAAACTTTTGAGCCAACATTTTATATAGAGATTTTTACATAGAAAGGTAAAGGATGAATTGGAAGATCTGGCACCACTGGGCGGGCATTCCAGCCTGAGAGCAGTGCTCTGGAGCTGAGTACGGAAGGGCTTTGCATTAGCTGACATGGCAGGAAGGCAACTGCAGTCGTAGGAGTTTGTGACCCTGGCTTCAATGGCTCAGAGTTTAACGTTGTTTGCAGAGAACACCCAGGGAGGGGGTTTTTCATGTTTTGAGTGGACACAGCAGGGTGCTTGTCTTTATGCAACAAAAGGAATGCTTGTAACAGAAGGAGAAAAAAATCCAACATAGGCATACTGGTTGCTGCTCAATCAAGGGGAAGTCAGGTGGTCTTTCTGAGCTTTTCTTCTCCTGCAAGGCAACACTTTTTATAGCTCTGTAACTTCAAGAACAAAACAGAGAGTGGCTATGACCGGTCCTGTGTGTGTGGGGAGCCACACGCAGGCAGGAGGTGCCCGCTGGAGGGTGTCCATAACTGGAGGCCTATGTGTTTGGCGGCCAGCTGAGCCTTCTGGAGTAGCCAGATGTTTTCTGATTCTGTAGCTCTGGCTGCCTGTGGGGAGCCCCCTTTGAGCCATGTTGAGGAAGCTGTGATCTGAAACTGTAGCTTGGGCCTTTTGAAGCCCCTCACCTCCTGCCAGGGCAGAGTGGGCCCCAGATGTCTGCAGCATGCTGTTAGGGACGCTTGGGGAGAGATGCCTGCCGCGGTTCTCACGTGCAACCTTGTCCCTCCTGGGTTCCTGCCGTCCTGAAGTGAAGGAAAGAGCTCAGATGAAGAGGTGAGCTTGTGGATCAGCTGCTGTGCTCCATATCATGGAAGCTTTTGTAAGACAATTTTCCTCTCCATTCCATGAATAAGACTAAAGGCAAGTTTTCCTGCCTTTGGGTCTGGGGACCACATTTGCATAGTCCCTTCCAGGCAGATGCTGTGTTCACCTGCCTGAGGTTCTGTCTGCCTGGTAACATGACTGTGTTGTTCACCATCCTCTCCTGCCAGCAAGGGCTCTGCTATCTTGTTCTGGAGTAGTTTGCTCACCAGTGTGGAAAGGCAGGACTGGCCGTGGGTTTGCTGTGTTGTGGCCATCCTGTGCCCTGGGATCCTGCGACAAATCCTGGCCTGTGAACTTTGCTCTGTCCCCGAGTTCGTCATGAAGTGTCTTGTCCAGAATCCAAGAGTCCTGTTGCTGAGTTTCACACTGTTTAAATGGATGCTGCAGCCTCTCTCCTAACTCTGACCCCTCACAGAGTTCTCCACCCTATTAATCTACAGAGCCCACACCTCAGAGACACAGGCATTTACTAGAAAGGCAGCTTTGATTTTTAGATATGTGAGAGCTTTCTCAAGCTCCTCACATCCCATCAGCTTCTGGACCTCTCTAACCTGACTCTGCCCCCACCGGCCTACTGACAGGGCTTTCCTCCAAGACTTTCCCAGTAGCTTCCTAGGGGCAAAACCCAGTGGATGTTTTCCAGCAATTGACGCTATTAAGTCATCCTTCTTACAGTGCTTTCTTCTGGGCTTCCAGAACTCTCGCCTCAGCCCTCCTCTGCATCCATGACTAGCTCTGATCCTTTGTAGGAGACTTCCTTCCACACACCTGCCCCTCTCCCTTAAATATTAGTGCAGATGCACCCTTCACCTGCTACCTTGCCCTAAGGCACTTTCTACTTATTTTATTTTTAGTCCAGACATCTAAATTGCCAAGAGCAGAAATCTATTCAAACTAGCTTATGCAAAAATGCTGACTGCCTTAAGAACACGGAAAGATCTCATGGACTCCAGGGGCAGAGGTTGTGCTGGGCCTCCCTGGGGCCCAGGCCAGGGAGGGGAGAGTCAAAAGGAACCTGAATGTCTGATTCCATTTCATACCTCCTTCCTTCTCATTAACCATAAGCCTGACCTGCTTCTCCAGGCTCTCCCTGGGAGCCAGCCACCTGCTACTACTCCCAGTAGGCTTGGTTTTTCAGCTTAAGCACTTAACTGTTTCTCCATGCCCCAAGGGCTTTACAAATGTGCTTTTCTGTTGACTCAGCTATTCCACTTCTAGGAACTTAATCTTGAGAACGTATTGTGAGAGTTGTACTAAGGTTTAAGTTCATGAGTGCTCACCATAGAATTATTTATGATGGGGAACAGGTAGAAACACTTTGAGTAGCCAATAGTAAGAGGTTGTTAAATCACTGCTGATATATTAATATGATAAACTTTTATCATATTTTTCAAAATGATTCTGAATCCTTTTTGAAAATAGTTTATTGAGAAAATGAGATAAATTGAAAAAAAAGATGTGAAAGTATATGATCTCAATTTTAAAAGGTATGCATATTCATCATAAAGTATACCAAATATTTATTAATAGTAGTTATCTCAGGGTGACAGGATGGCTGATGACTTTTTTCCTATATTTTTTTGTATTTTTTGTTATTTTAAATACAACTCAGTGCAGAACTCTAGTCCTCTTGGAAGCTTCTCTCAGCCTTCTGAGGCTGGGCTGGGTCCCCTCTGAGTGTTCCTGGTATTGGACACACGTTCTTATTGTTACACTTACTAAGTGGTCCTCTATTTCTTGAAGTGAAAGACTGTGTGTGTGCATTTTTATCTTTCTTGTACTCAGGAAAGTACTGACTATGATTGATAGTAAATATCTGTTGGTTGTAGAAATTTAAGTCAACAGAGAAACATTTTTGCTAAGTTCAAACATTTGCTAAGTTCAAATAAATATCTGTGTCATTTTTCTTCAAAGATGGTTAGAATAATGTTTTGGCTTCCCTTTTCACTTTCTGAGCAGCTTGGCATTGTATTGATCAGATTAGTGATAAAGTTGATTATTAAAGTTTAAGAAATATAAGTATATGTAGCTGGGCACTGAGGCTCACGCCTGTAATTTTAGCAACTCAGGAGGCTGAGGCGGGAAGGTCCCCTGAGCCCAGTAGTTCAAGGCTGCAGTGAGCAGTGAGCTGTGCATCACTGCACTCCACCCTGGGTGATGGAGTGAGACCTTATTTCTAAAAGAGATGTATGTACGTGAACATGGTTTAACTGTTGAGATTTATACAACTTTTTATTTTGAAATTATTGTAGATTAACATCCATTTCTGGCTAGGCATGGCATCTATAATCCCAGCACTTTGGGAGGCAGAGGTGGGTGGATCACCTGAGGTCAGGAGTTCAACACCAACCTGGCCAACATGGTGAAACCCTGTCTCTACCGAAAATACAAAAATTAGCTGGGTGTGGTGGCGTGGACCTGTGGCCCCAGCTACTCAGGAGGCTGAGGCTGGAGAATTGCTTCAACCTGGGAGGAGGAGGTTGCAGTGAGCCGAAATCATGCCACTGTGCTCCAGCCTGGGCCACAGAGCAAGAAAGAAAAAATCAATTTCTAAAAAATCATACACAGAGATCCCTTGTACAAGTTTGTGTCCTTTACCTAATGTCTCCCAATGAAAGCATTTTGCAAAACCGTAAAACAGTATCACAAACAGGATATTAACATCCATATAGTCAAGATACAGTCATTATTAGTGGCCCTTGTAGCCAAACCCATTTTCCTCCTACCACCACCCCCTTCTTAACTTCTGGCAACCACTCATCTGTTCTCTATTTCTATAATTTTGTCATACTAAGAACGTTACATTGATGAAATCATACAGTATGTAACCTTTTGGGATCCTTTTTCCTCTCAGCATACTTCTCTGGAGATTCATCCAGGTTGGTGTGTGTGTCAGTAGTTTGTTCTTTTTATTGCTGAGGATGCTGTGGTGTGGATGTACCACACTTTGTTTAACTATTCACTTGCTGAAGGATATCTGGGCTGTTTCCAGTTTTTGGCTACCCGACATACATGTACAGTTTTCCATGTGAGCTTAAGCTGTCATTTTTCTGGGACAAATGCAAGGAATGCAATTTCTGGGTTGAATGGTTGTTACAGGTGTCTCCTTTGAGAAAGTGTCAAGCTCTATTATAGAGTGGCTGGGCTGCTCTACATTCCCACCAGCCATGTCTGAGTGACCCAGTTTATCTGTATCCTTGCCAGCATTTGGGGGTGTCGCTGTTTTTTATTTTAGTCACCCTGAAAGGCACGAGGGATATTTTATTGTAGTTGCATTTTGCATTTCTCTAATGGCAATAGAAGTCAAACGTTTTCTCATGGGATTGTTTGCCACCTGTACATTCTCTTTAGTGAAATGTCTGTAAGTTTTTTTTTTTTTTCATTTTTCTAATAGGATTGTGTGTTTTTTGCTGTTGAGTTTGAAAGTTCTTTAGAGTCTGGATACCAGTCCTTTGTTGGATATGTGGTTTACAAAAATTTTCTCCCAGTCTGTTTGACTTTTCATCCTCTTCATATTGTTGTTTACAGAACGTAAGTTTTTAATTTTGGTAAAGTCAAGTATAGTATATCAAGTTTTACTAATATAGACGCTACCTCTGGTGTCAAGTCTAAGAACTTTGTCTATTCTTAGATCCCAAAGATTTTTCTTGTGGGTTTTTTCTAAAGTCTTCTAGCTTACATTTTATGTTTGGGTTTGTGGTTCATGTTGAGTTAATTTTTGAATAAAAGGTGAGGTTTGTGTTAGTTTTATTTTCTGCCAGTGGAAGTCCCATTGACCCAGCACCATTGATTGAAGAAACTGTCCTTCCGCCATTGAATTACTTTTGCACTTTTGTCAAAAATCAACTGAGCATGCCTGTGTGGGTCTATTTCTGGGCTCTCTGTTCTGTTGCATTGATCTGTGTCTGTCTTTGCACCAATACCACACTACCTTGATGACTGTAGCACTGGGATTTCAAACATTCCAATTCTGATTGTTCTCTTGCCAGCGCACTTCTCCTGCTGCGGCCCTCGGGAGGCTGACTCCTGTGTCTGTCCTTGCCTTTCAGATATCTACGTGTATGCTGTCCTTGTGTGCTGCGTGGGGATCCTCAGCATTCTGCTCTTCATGCTGGTCATCGTCTGGCAGTCTGTGTTTAACAAGCGGAAATCCAGAGGTAAGAAAACAGATAAGGTCATGTCTGGGATGGGAGCACACCCTGACCACAGATGGGCGGAAGATGCTAGGCAAAGTACCACCTTGGTGGAAAAGTGCATTGTGAGTCAGGGATTATTTATCTGTGATTGTGGGCAAAGTGAGCAAGCTGTGTTTCCCTTGGACTCTGCTAAAATACACTGTGGCCATCATTGACATCACTGAATTTCCCGTTTCTTGGTTTCTGAGGCCCCTTCCTGCTGTCAATCTCCCTGAAGAGTCTGTGGTGTCAGATGAGCCTAGAGTTGGATTTTGACTCTGCCGTTTGAGGCTGAGGTTTGGGGCAAGTTCCTGAGCCGTTCTGAACGTGAGTTTCCTCATTTATGAAAGGGGATTGACACCCGCTTCTCTCGGTGGAATGTTCTTATGAGCGTTCACTTTCAGGCAGGTGGCACTTGGGAAGTCTTCCCCATTCTTTCCTTGACCGGTCTGAGAGTTCCCTTCCGTCTCCTTTCACTTTGGTGTCCCTGTTTCCCTGCACTCTGCCCTCAGCCCCTTCCTGCCTTCTGCCTTGCTTCTCAGGAAAGCGTAGTTCTCCTGACTCTTGTATCTCTATGAACACTGCCTGCTTTCTCGAGAGTCCCTGCTGCTCCTCAAGCCCCGATTTCACTTGCCCAGCACCTCCTGTTGGAGGTCTCCTTTGAGAGCCTCTCCCTGTATCCCGCTTCAGAATCTCCAAAGCAGCTGGGGACACTGTGACTCCCAGAGATGACCAGGGTAAGAGCCGAGCTCTGGAATTGCACCAACTCCAGTTCCAGTGGCTCCCTCACTTACAGGCTGACAACCTCCCTCTATGCCTGCCTTCCTCATCTGCGACATGGAGGAGGCAGGAGTGCAACAGTCTCAGGCTCATGGTGAGGACTAAGTTACCAAAAGAAAGATGCTAAAACCCATAACACAGGCTCCAGCAAATGTCCTGCTTTTATGTTGACATACGGCTCTAACTACACACAATAATTGTCAATATTAGCTTAAGGTCATAGAGCTTGGAAATGTTAGATTCAGTGGTCACGGCTTGAGGGGCCACTCCAACAGTGACTCTGTGCAGCACTAATGCAGGGTGTGGGCAAGGCTAAGGGACAATGAGGGAGGTGACACATACAACGACAAGTACCCATGGGATGCTGTTTCCATCCTAGACCTTAAGGGATAAGGGGAGGGGAGATTCCTGGAATGGACCATGCAATAGCTGCAGCTTTGGGAGAGGTGTCGCCATCAGGGGCCTGCAGAGAGGAACTCAGCTCCTGACAAACCAGGAGGCAGCTGGGAGGGAGCCAGGATGGTACACTTCTCACGCCCTCTCCCCTCCCCACTTGGATCTGCTGCTATCGCCCTTGGTGCCACCCACCAGAAGCCAGGGGGCCGGGAGCAGGAAGGTGCCTTCAGGGCTGAGCAGGGTGGACAAAGGTGGACGGGGATCCAGAGGACAGTGGAGAACTCCAGCACACTCAGCAATCGGCGATGGGGCAGTGGCTGTAGCATGGGTGTCTTTCCTCTGGAGCCTGTGCTCTCCCACCAGCCTCTGCATGTGTCTCTGTGCTGTCCTTCAAAGCCAGCTCCAGGGCCTTCCCCTAAATCCCTCATCAGTGGCAACGCAGCCTTTTTTCCTGTTCTCAACCCCTGAATACTCTTGTGAGCTTGTGGCATGTTGCACTTGTGCCTTGGCATGGGCCTCCCTTCCGGAGGACAGTGTGTGATTCAATTCATTCTCCTGGAATTTGGCTCAGGACAGATGCTCAGCACATGGTGGACAAATGGGTTTATTTCCCACCTGCCTTGCTCCCAACTGTTGGAGGGTGGAAGCCACATAGGCAGTTTCCAAGCTGGGTATGCTCTGAAGGCACTTTTGCCTGGGTTCCGGAGCATGATCGAGAGTCTTCATGGGCTACAGGCCCTGCTAGGCCCTAGACAGGGTCAGGGAAACAAAGCAAAGCCAAGAAGGGCACACTGCGACATGTGGGAGCACCTGGCATCCTCCTCCAGGCCTCACAGAGAGGCTTCAGAGAAGGGGGATCCCAACTGCCTCATCCCCACTGAAGTGGGCCTCAGATGGTCCCATGTGTACCTGTGCACAGTGCCTGAAAGCCCTCCCCAAACCCTAGCTGTCCAGAGCATTGTCTGAGCACCCGTTATGGGCCAGGAACCTCATGTGGCCTCTCCATGTGCTTATGTGACCCTGGATGAGAGCCACACCACACTTACCTGACAGCACAGCTGAGGAGCTTGAGAAGGCCCTGAAACCAGGGAGTGGTAGGGTGAAGTTGGGCCCCAGTCTCTCAACTGTTGGAGTGTGGAAGCCACATGGGCAGTTTCCAAGCTGGGTTCCCAAGCCTCCCATGTTTCTAGTCAAGAAAACCTTAGCTATTAGGGGGCTGACCTTGCCAGGGGAATTTTTCTTTAGCCTTCCGTGGGAGTTGTTGCTGAGGCTCTTCCAAGATAGCTCTAGTTGGTGCCTGCAGCTCCCAGGAGTTTGGTTTTGGTTGATTGCAACTCCCATTGGCAGACCCAGTAGCCTTGGCAGGGCAGGTCTTGCCCTATGCACCTCTAGGACCAGGCATCTTTCAACTCACTGTGGGGTGAGGATGGAGGACCATGCATGATGGGCCTGGGTAGTCTCCTTCAGCTGGGCCCAGGAGTCTTAGAACAGCCCTTCCCAAAACTTCAGGAGCAGACCGTTCACCTGGGAACCTGCTCAAATGCAGATTCTGATTCAGGGTGTTTGGGGCAGGCCTGCAATCCTGCATTTCCAGCCAGCTCTGCTGCTGGTGTGAGGCCATGTTTGGAGTAGCAAAGCCTTAGAGCTGTTCTTCTTACCTCTATCCCACCAAGCATCCTGCTATTACAACATGTATTTTGGAATGATCTCTACTATTTTAAAATGAAATTCATAGATGAGCTATACTATCTGTACCCCCTCAAATCAACTTAATGCTTTATAATTAAAGGAGAAATAAGAGGAAAGTAATTTATAACACACGGAGACAAATTCTAGTATTACACCTCTTCTTTTAATCAGTGTGAATTTCAGAGAAGATAATAATCCTTTATATTTGATGCTTGAAATAAATGCTAGATAAGCACCTGTCTGTATATGCGAAGACTCAACATGCAGGGGACAGGGGTCAGCATAGACAGACACAGATGGGCCCTAATATCCAGGAGAGGCACTGCCCATGGTGACGGGATTCCTAACATCCCAACTGTTGGTAGGGTTTTTAATGAAAAAAGACACTCTTCGGCCAATTTGCAAACCCTTTAAACATTCATTGTGCATTAACATGGAGAAAATACATACCTCGTGTTTCTATGTAAATTGGACTTAGCTTCCAGGCTCTCATGAACAGGTTTCCTCTTTTCTTCTTCTTCTTTTTTTATTATACTTTAAGTTCTAGGGTACATGTGCATAACGTGCAGGTTTGTTACATATGTATACTTGTGCCATGTTGGTGTGCTGCACCCATCAACTCGTCAGCACCCATCAACTTGTCATTTACATCAGGTATAACTCCCAATGCAATCCCTCCCCCCTCCCCCCTCCCCGTGATAGGCCCCAGTGTGTGATGTTCCCCTTCCTGAGTACAAGTGATCCCATTATTCAGTTCCCACCTATGAGTGAGAACATGCAGTGTTTGGTTTTCTGTTCTTGCGATAGTTTGCTGAGAATGATGGTTTCCAGCTGCATCCAGGTCCCTACAAAGGACACAAACTCATCCTTTTTGATGGCTGCATAGTATTCCATGGTGTATATGTGCCACATTTTCTTAATCCAGTCTGTCACTGATGGACATTTGGGTTGATTCCAAGTCTTTGCTATTGTGAATAGTGCCACAATAAACATACGTGTGCATGTGTCTTTATAGCAGCATGATTTATAATCCTTTGGGTATATACCCAGTAATGGGATGGCTGGGTCATATGGTACTTCTAGTTCTAGATCCTTGAGGAATCGCCATACTGTTTTCCATAATGGTTGAACTAGTTTACAATCCCACCAACAGTGTAAAAGTGTTCCTATTTCTCCACATCCTCTCCAGCACCTGTTGTTTCCTGACTTTTTAATGATTGCCATTCTAACTGGTGTGAGATGGTATCTCATTGTGGTTTTGATGTGCATTTCTCTGATGGCCAGTGATGATAAGCATTTTTTCATGTGTCTGTTGGCTGTATGAATGTTCTCTTTTGAGAAATGTCTATTCATATCCTTTGCCCACTTTTTGATGGGGTTGTTTGTTTTTTTCTTGTAAATTTGTTTGAGTTCTTTGTAGGTTCTGGATATTAGCCCTTTGTCTGATGAGTAGATTGCAAAAATTTTCTCCCATTCTGTAGGTTGCCTGTTCACTCTGATGGTAGTTTCTTTTGCTGTGCAGAAGCTCTTTAGTTTAAATAGATCCCATTTGTCAATTTTGGCTTTTGTTGCTGTTGCTTTTGGTGTTTTAGACATGAAGTCCTTGCCCATGCCTATGTCCTGAATGGTATTACCTAGGTTTTCTTCTAGGGTTTTTATGGTAATAGGTCTAATATTTAAGTTTCTAATCCATCTTGAATTAATTTTCGTATAAGGAGTAAGGAAAGGATCCAGTTTCAGCTTTCTACTTATGGCTAGCCAATTATCCCAGCACCATTTATTAAATAGGGAATCCTTTCCCCATTTCTTGTTTTTCTCAGGTTTATCAAAGATCAGATGGCTGTAGATGTGTGGTATTATTTCTGAGGACTCTGTTCTGTTCCATTGGTCTATATCTCTGTTTTGGTACCAGTACCATGCTGTTTTGGTTACTGTAGCCTTGTAGTATAGTTTGAAGTCAGGTAGCGTGATGCCTCCAGCTTTGTTCTTTTGACTTAGGAGTTCTTTGTCTTGGAGATGCGGGCTCTTTTTTGGTTCCATATGAACTTTAAAGCAGTTTTTTCCAATTCTGTGAAGAAACTCATTGGTAGCTTGATGGGGATGGCATTGAATCTATA